GGCTGATGCTGAAATTGGCTGATGCTAAAATTTGGACCTATTTTGATACGAAATTTTAAACAAATTTTGGGGTGTTTTTTTACCGCTTTTTTTTTATAGTTAGGTTAGGTTTTAGGGTTAGAATTTATAATTAAAGAGTATATGTGAATTCTAGCAGGGCTTATATTCTAAAATTGGAACCCCAAATTTCAGCATCAGCCAATTATGGATCTTTGGAAAAATTACCTCTAGTAACAGATCATGCGACTGAAATTTCCGAGACATTATGTCCCAGAAAAAATTTGCCTAAGAATAGTCCACCGAAAACTGAGGTAAGTGCACCTATTCCATTAGTTCGTGACTCCAATTCTCCAGATGATTCCCAAATCGAAGAAGGTATGATGGAGGAGATTATTATGATGATGATGATATGTATGATGAAGGATGCTATTATGAAGATAAAGGGTATTATTATCGTGATGGAAGATATGAGAGAAAAGTCTCACCAATGACGAGTCCAATCATCTCTCCGGCATATGCTTAGGAAATTACGGATAATATGATCTAGTCAAAGCATTTGTAACAAATTTTTCTAATATATACCTTTTGTGATTATTCTACAGTGTCTTCATGGGCCGGTAAAAAAACATGATTATAAAGCTTCTAATGTTTTTACATGATATGATATAACGATAATTCTTTTTTTATTCCAAATATCATATGTTTATCTGATTTCGCATACATAATCAGTTTACTTTTGCATGTGTATTTCGCGAATTTGGTAAAGTCAGTAGGATAATAGCACGACGTGTCATGACCCTCTTTATTTCATAAAAATCACGTAAAAATAAAACATTGGGAGCCCAGCGGACCCCCTTTATTATTATAAAAAATTATATTGTCGGGACGACAACATAATATACAAATATAAAAAATATATCGCTGTTACATGATGCGAATACAAATAAAAATTATTTTTTGGTGTGGAAACTACAAAAATTTGATCATCACCGGGGCTAGTAGGAAAGTAATCAGAAATTCTAATCAATGGTTTAATATCATTGGCATCAGAGGATAGACGAAGACGGATTTTAGTAGAAGGCATGGAATCGAAAAAAGACGCCAAGCGTTTTTTTACCATATGTTTGAGCAATTCATACTTTTTATCTTTAGAAATCTCAATTGTAAAAATTTCATTATGCGAAATCCAGAGAGGCCGAGACTCACGATCTCAAAGTTTAGCACTTTTTTTATATGAAGTATTGTGAAGCATGATGTTTGTAATCTGGTGTGACAGATATCTGTATTACCGGTAAGTAATTTGCAACGATAAATCAGATCAATTTCGAATATTACCCCAACCAAAAAACATGTCTGATCCACTTTCAATTCTAAAAGGAGAAATAAAGCGCCTCAGCTTCGTTTCAAATGAAAAAATAAGTTTACTCGCTCACTTTACCGAAAATGTAGAAAAAATTGCTGTTGCAGTATCTTGCCTTGATGACTGTGATAATGATGAAGAAAAGCGTAATTATTTGAGATTTCTAATCTCCCCACCTGGTACGTTTATTGAGACATAAATTAATGTTGCTTAAACTCTCGTTTTCTGTCATAATACCGAATACTTACTTATTCTTGTGCTTTTCTTTCCTGCTTCTTATCGTCAAACCCACCCAAAAAAACACATTCGCGTTATCGTAGATCAACCCAGTGCCACTGGTAAGTGAGTCGCAATAATTTTGGTCAACGCGAGTTAACGCGTCCTGTTTTGATTTTTTGTTTGTTATTTTTCTAGTATTAGTTATGTAACATCGAATACATAATCTTGTGCTTTTTTTACTTTATCCTCAAAAAAAATCATAAAAACAATTTATATAGAAGTTAGGAAAAAAATCACTGATGCTTTTCCTGGAGGTATGTACTAAGCAATTTCCGCAACAAACACGCCATTCTTATGTTGACTGCTGCTATTCATATGCTAGGCTTGCCATATGTGAAACCAGAACCTTTGCTTTACACTTCCGGTTCTAATTGGGAATATCAACCCGACCCATCATTGAAGCAGATTTTGCGAGAAGCGCTTAAAAAGCATTATAAAAATTTTACTTTAGGGCGTTTTGACAAATCGGATCTTCCAATAATCTCTTCCTTTCTGGGGCTGGTACCGAAACGCTAACGAATTTCACCAGACGGCAATCACATGTTTGTCAGCTCAAGAAGATGAGGAGGTGTTGACCAAGATTAAAGAAGCTTGGGTATTCCATATCAGCTATGAGAACGGTTTCTCCTTAAAACAAGAAGAATCCAACCCTTATCTAGCTGTCGGTACTCGTATGCTATTTCAACTTCTCAGAGAGAAAATGAGGCTTCATGAAATTATCGAGACGTACAAACCACCAGATCCGTTGGATGTTGTATCAGTGATTGCCAAACACTATAACCGAGACTTGAAAAGCGTTACAGTCATTTTGGTTGTTGACGGAATGCAACAGCTTATGGAGAACAAAGATGATGGTTTAAAGTTAAATTCTACGTTTTACAAAACTCTGACATCTTTTGCAGATCTTGCGTTTAGTGGCACTTTCATAATACCCGTTTGTACCTCAACTATCACAGGACCGATTGATGGTATGTTGAGATATTCGACGAGGGATCGTGTATACCTTCCGGTCGCTTCTCTACAACCCCCAAACTATCAACAGGGAGTCCCGGTCTTTAAAAATGATAAGGTTACTAACACTCTTGTGGAAGACTGCGGAGGGCATGGAAGGGCCCTAGAAGTTCTGAATGATTGCTTGGCTGGTCGTAGCATTGAAGAATGCAATGTCGATACTTTGATGAACGATCTGCGTTACAATCTTACTAAAAAATACCGTGATGCTATTTTTGGTTCTGTGGAAGAAGCCAGGCCTATTGCACGAGCAATATTGACTAGACGTCTCTTAAATAGGTATAAACCTATTCCAAAAACTGACAAAACGCCAGATGAATTTGTTGGCGGTGGGTTGATTCGATTCGAGCAAGTAGAAAATAGTCCAAAAGGATACCTCACTGCACCATATATCTGGCTCTGGATATTTGTAGAGATGTCTCAACAGCTAGGAGATCCAATACTTCGGGATTGGGAGTTTGCTGATTATGGAGAGCAAAGAGCACTCTTGAATCCAGTAACATCGTTGCAAGCCAAGTCATGGCAGAGTTTTGAAAAATTAGTCGCATCATTTCGTTGTATAAAATCAGCTGTGATTGAAGAAGATGAACCAACTTCGATCTCAGAGGTTCATGCGGGAGCACGTTTGAATGGCGATATCCAATTTAAAAACCACAATCTACAACTTGAAGTTGCAAAACACCATACAGACACAAGGTCTAAAACTCTTACTGCAAGAGAATGGAATGTTGTTTGCTATAATTCTACTGTTGATGTCCGGAAATTCAAACATTGTATTATTAATGCCCCAGCTTCACCATATGGAGATTTCTTCCTTTCATTAGATCAGCCGGATACTGAGAGTCCGAATGAAATCCACCAATACAAATTACGAAAAAAAGTAGTCAGTAAAAAGGAATACCAAGAAGAGCGTGAAAAATCCGCATCAGAAAATGATTTTTTCATCCTCTTTACAACTGCAAATTGTAATATTGAAATTCCGAAAAAGTCTGGAATTGTAGATAGAAATGCCTTTACGGACTATTTTGGACCATTTGCTGGAAGAGCATACAGATCTGCTATGGCTAATTCCTCTATCTATAATAATAAAGTCAAGAACATCCATACCGTTTCTCTTGGGCAAACATGCAACATGAATCAAAGCAAAGAACGAGTGAATGCAAAAACAAAGATACCAATGAGGAATGTTTATTTCCGAAAAGGTCTTCACATGATTTCTCGCATTTTGCCTCGATTCATGTGATTACAAATTAGGTGAATTATAATAAATTAATCACTGGCATAGAAACATTATGTATATATCATAGAAATTTTGTAATCATTTTTTGCTCATTACCTCATGCTATTCTTGTAAAGATTTTTAATGTACTGTAATAAGTTAATAAAGTTAGTAAAATTACCGTCTATTTCAAACAATAAATTTCATGTGGCTAGATTAGTGATTGGACCCGTTTAAAAAAACGTGACCCGGGTCACCCGACGGGTGGACCCGCGGGTCACCCGGGTGATCACCCGGGTCTATCGGATAACCCGTTTAACCCGGGTCAAAATCATATCGAACGTACATATTGCGACTTAGTAATTGGACCCGTTTAAAAAAACGTGACCGGGTCAGAATCTATAGATTAGGTAGCTGCGTGACGTAGTCGCGCTAAAACAAGAAACGAGATACTTTATCCAAAA